TTTAGGGATGCAGTTCTAAAATGCAATTGGAAAATATGCGACTCTCCAAAACAGTAGTATCCAACAGTCAGAACAACAAGAGGGAGGAATGTAAGTGGGAACAGAACCAGACTACCCATCCAAGTGCTAAAACCAAGTGCAGCCATTAAGAAGTCCTTATTAGAATAATAGAACCGTAGAGTTGGAATAGACCACAAGAGCCATCTAGTCTAACCCCATTATGCCATGCAGGAATGCAAAAGAAACACTCTGGACAGATTGCTAGCCAGCCTTTGTTTAAAAACCTCCAAAGAAGAAGACTCCATCACACTCCCAGGCAAAATAGTCCACTCCAAATAGCATGTACTGTCAGTAATTTCCCCCTAAAGTTTAGGTGAAAAGTCTTCCTGCAAATTGAACCCATTGCTCCTTCTAGTTTTTAGAGCAGCAGAAAAAGTCTGCCTCATCTTCAATATGACACCCTCCAAATATTTAAATATAATTATTACATTAGCTTTTTAAACTGTTGCATCCTACAGGCATGCATTGTAGAAGCCCTTATCAAAGAATGAGGCCAAGAGGAATATCTCAAATTGCACCTGGCCATTCTTGCTCCTACTTTTTTTCACCAGACTTTAGCCTGGTGGAAAAGAATGTAGTAGTATTCTGAAGTAGTTTGCTGTATCGAGGTCAGAAAGCAAGATTTCTAATTGACACATATCTGAGGTTTCACATATTCTTGCTATTTTAAATTGGCCTAGAGTGTGAGAATAAGAGAATTCTATCAGAAGAGTGCCACATTTAAATCCTGACTCAAATGTACAGCAGACTGATCTTAGACCAGTCAGCTTCTGTCTTAGTGTGAACCACCTTAACAGTGCTTTGTAAGAGGAAAATACAATAATCCTTTGAATGTTGTCCTAAGATGATAGGCAGAAATGGAGAAAAAGCTTTTTATGAACCGTTCCAGTAAAAGTAGGTGGATTTTCTTTTAACAGTTTTTAAAGATGAGTACCATTAAATGCTTTAGGTTCTTAAGGGATTTTCCAGAGGGGACTTCTTCAGGTTCCTGTAAGGTCATTGCTCATAACTGCAGCAGCACATGAGTATCTGCAGTAACATTTCTTGACTCACTTCAAAGAGGTTCTGTTAGAAGGAAAACAAGGTTTGACAATTAAAGGGATGTTACACAAAGAGTCATCTGATTTCATTGTACAGTTCATTTTATATCTGGTGATCAGATATTATTTATTTCTTATTACATTCTGCTGCTGTCCCTGTGGTAGAGATTGAAAAATATTTGAATGTATTCAAAATGGTTGAAAAATATGATTCTCCAGTGTTAGGAAGCAACATCTGTGTGCAGTGAAATAATATTGTCTTTGCAGAAAATGCTCCTTCCTGTGCAAAAATTTCTGATTTCAATATTTAAAGATCCATACATGGATTTTACATAGAGTAAGTTGCCAACAATCATATTTGCTGTTTTTTGTCCCCTAAAAGTTCAAATTTTGCACAGAATGATTCCCAGATTATGAATACAGTAAGACACCCCCCACAACCAGTTTCTCTTACCCTCACCATGGGAAATGGTCTCTATGGGAATTTTCTAGGTCCACCAGATTCTATGCTTCCCTGGGATGTTATCATACCACCCTATCACATTGAGACATTTCGTAGTCATACGACGCTTCAGCCTCTTTTCAAACATGAAGAGGCGCGGAACTCATCACGTGAGTTAAACTACATCCAGCCATCATGCATAGTGGTTGAAGTGAAGAGGTAGAAGTGTCCTGAAAGGAGGGAACTCCAACAATCTGACCTCATCACATTGAGAAATTTCCCCCTTGTGGGACACTCCAGCCTCTTTCCAAGCATGGCAAGGCACAGAGCTCATCACATGTTCCAGGGCTGAAAAGAGATAGAAATGTCCTGAAAGGAGGGAACTCTGAACATGGACCAGCAATCGTGTTCAGAGCTCCTACCTCCTATCGTGCTTTACTCCCATCTTTACAATAAAAAACAGGTGGGATAGGAACCATCACAGTTTCCCGTACTGTTTCATTGCCCAACCATCAGCAGTCTCTTGTATCTATGGGGTTTTGGGCAGGGCAATTTTATCGCATGGAAAGAAGTGGCTTTAACCTGGATCACTGTTTCTTGTATCATATGGAGTTTGGAGCAGAGCAATTTCATCCCATGCAAAGATGAGTCCCTCAGTAGGATTTGCAGAGCCTCAAGGGCTCAGCAGATCACACTTTGAGAACCACCGCTCTACACTAAAAGGATGATTTCCTGCATTTCCTCATCTCAATGTGATGAGGCCATATAGAATTGCATTTGCATATTTGGAAAACTAGAGAAATGTAACTCTGTGGAACTGAAGTCGGGTAATTTGATGATATTCTGCAATATCCATTGTTTCATGTAACTGTGTTCTGGCAGGTATCACCTGCTATGCAGAAATCTTAATATAGTCTTTGAAAAAGGCATATTTTAAGGAATTCATACCAAAGCATTCTTTCTCATTTTCCATTAATCCTCCTGTCTTTCCTAGCTCTATATGTAGAATATAACTGGATTGTCCTATTTGCAGTGGGTTGCACATTATTTCTTCAATATTATTTCATGTGTGCATGATCCACACAAATGCTCAAACTTGGAACAAGAAGTGACATGCTAATTCTGGTTTCATAGGGGCAAAGATTACTGCAGATGCAGACTGTAGCCAGGAAATCAGAAGACGCTTACTTCTTGGGAGGAGAGCAATGTCCAGTCTCGATAAAATAGTGAAGAGTAGAGACATCAGACTGGCAACAAAGATCCGCCTAGTCAAAGCCATGGTATTCCCTGTAGTCGCCTACGGATGTGAGAGCTGGACCTTAGGGAAGGCTGAGCGAAGGAAGATCGATGCTTTTGAACTGTGGTGTTGGAGGAAAGTGCTGAGAGTGCCTTGGACTGCGAGAAGATCCAACCAGTCCATCCTCCAGGAAATAAAGCCCGACTGCTCATTGGAGGGAAAGATACTAGAGACAAAGTTGAAGTACTTTGGCCACATCATGAGGAGACAGGAAAGCCTAGAGAAGACAATTATGCTGGGGAAAGTGGAAGGCAAAAGGAAGAGGGGCCGACCAAGGGCAAGATGGATGGATGGCATCCTTGAAGTGACTGGACTGACCTTGAGGGAGCTGGGGGTGGTAACGGCCGACAGGGAGCTCTGGCGTGGGCTGGTCCATGATGTCACGAAGAGTCGGAGACGACTGAACGAATGAACAACAACAACAACACAAAAGATTTAAAGGGTGGATTTGTCTTTGAGGACCAAAACCACTGTATTTTAAAGTTTTGGGAAGGCATTTAGGGGATATATTAGAGTGAAAAATCACTTAGTGGATGATATCTGAGGATTTGGATTTTCCCATGGTATCCAGTGGTTGAAGAAAAAGAGACCGGTCTGTATGTGGGCTGCCCTTTCCCCACCATGAAATGGGGGAAATTATTAACACAGTTTTGAGTTTTATAGTTATGGAAAGAAACAAGATAGAATTTAAGGGCCTTGTCGAAAAACTACAATGTGTGCGCCTGAAAGAATTTAGTGAGTTTTGGAAGAGTAGGAATTGCTGAGTTTTTAACAGTTGCCATGCTTGTATGGAGTGGTTATTGGGAATGATCTCTGTGCTAAAGTTTTTGCTTATGTTTCCCCTTTAGTATAAACTGGTAAACTAATGAGGAACTGAAGGCTGACCACACTTTTTGAACCTAGGATCTTGGTTAATAACTGCCTATGTATGCAAAGAAAAACAAGCTTTCCTTTGTAATCCTACAGGTTCTTGGTTTCTCATTCTGTACCAATGTAGTCAAAATCTGCCACTTCAAATCAGCTATATGATATGAATACATTGATGATGATGTTCCATGAATGGTGCTGGAAAAAATGTTCTTGAGTATTCATTTTCTTGCCACAATTTGTAGCATTCTGTTAAGCATTGTGCCCTGTGCCCTGTGGTGTAGATTGCAACTGCTCCACCTATATATTGATCTCATAGCATAGTTTTATACATTTCATTGACTTTAAAACAAATTACATGTTTGTCTTAGATTTTTGGGGAAAATATATCAATTTCACTTTGCTAGGCAATGCTTTATCCACTTGACTTTGACTTTATCAGTTTTGTGGTTTTGGTCCTAGTTCCCAGTCTATAAACTTTTGTGTTCTATAAAATCATCCTTACACTCAATAGTTTTATTTTCTTCTGCATTCTCTGAAAAGTAGGGCAAAATCAATTCAATGTTTAACACATTTTTTGAATAACATAAATTTCAACAGAAGTGCTGAGGATGTACCTTAGGAGTTTTTTTCAGCTGAAAGAAATAATTGATTTAGAAATTTACGGAATCATATATAGTTAGAGCTGCACATTTACCAGTAGAATCATACCAAACTCTGAAGTTTCCGGGCCAAAAGATAGTCCCTGATGATGTCATTAAGCATTGTGTATCAAGTAGCAACCACAGTTGCTCACAGCCTGCCTTTTAAACATATGTGCAAACATAATTTATTGTAATTTGAAAATTAAAACAGAAATCGTAACCAAGGGGGCTGTTACCAGATAAGATGAAATGATTGGATCATTCTTTTTCACTACTTAGGGACTCAGTCTTGACTATTTGATTCTAGCCAGAAGATGGATTTAGAGCAGGTGGAAGTACAACTTTGAAGCCATAAACCCTGGGATAAAATGAGAAAGCTAACTAAATAAATGTGTGGATCTTCTGAAAAGTCTTTGCAAGTTGCAGCAGCAAACCAATTAAGTCTTCCAATTGGTAGCTCTACTGGCTGAGCTGCAGATTTGTGCATAGTTCTTTTGCTTGCCTGGAGCTGAGCCCACAAAACTGAAAAATCTTTACCCTAATTTCCCACCTGAGGCTGACTCATAACATGGAGTGTCTCTGTTATATGGCTTCTTCTTTTATCAAAACATGCTTGGTTGATTAACACATTGTTTGTTTTCTAATTTTAGAATTGTAAGCAAACTAAGCCAAGAAATCAATCGACATGAAGAAAAAAGAAGCTTCTTTCCAAAAAGGTAGGAAAGTATTTATTATTAAGCTGTTGTATCAACAGTGAGCAAATTTTCCCCAGAACTATTGAGTTGCATTGGGTGATATGGAAATACCATACCTTCTGTACATTGTTGTTGTTCATTCGTTCAGTCGTCTCCGACTCTTCGTGACCTCATGGACCAGCCCACGCCAGAGCTCCCTGTCGGCCGTCACCACCCCCAGCTCCTTCAAGGTCAGTTCAGTCCCTTCAAGGATGCCATCCATCCATCTTGCCCTTGGTCGGCCCTCTTCCTTTTACCTTCCACTTTCCCCAGCATAATTGTCTTCTCTAGGCTTTCCTGTCTCCTCATGATGTGGCCAAAGTACTTCAAATTTGTCTCTAGTATCCTTCCCTCCAATGAGCAGTCGGGCTTTATTTCCTGGAGGATGGACTGGTTGGATCTTCTCGCAGTCCAAGGCACTCTCAGAACTTTCCTCCAACACCACAGTTCAAAAGCATATCTTCCTTCGCTCAGGCTTCCCTAAGGTCCAGCTCTCACATCCGTAGGTTACTACAGGGAATACCATGGCTTTGACTAGGCGGATCTTTGTTGCCAGTGTGATATCTCTACTCTTTACTATTTTATTGAGAGTGGACATTGCTCTCCTCCCAAGAAGTAAGCGTCTTCTGATTTCCTGGCCACAGTCTGCATCTGCAGTCATCTTTGCACCTAGAAATACAAAGTCTGTCACGGCCTCCACGTTTCTCCCTCTATTTTCCAGTTGTCAATAATTCTTGTTGCCATAATCTTGGTTTTTTTGACGTTTAGCTGCAACCCGGCTTTTGTGCTTTATTCTTTCACCTTGATTAGAAGGCTCCTCAGCTCCTCCTCGCTTTCGGCCATCAGAGTGGTGTCATCTGCATATCTGAGGTTGTTAATGTTTCTTCCAGCAATTTTCACCCCAGCTTTGCATTCATCCAGCCCCGCACATCTGTTTTCTTTAATTGTGGTTGGGTGAGAGGATGCAGCCTTGCCGTACGCTTTCCCAATCTTGAACCAGTCTGTTGTTCCGTGGTCAGTTCTGACTGTTGCTACTTGGTCCTGTGAATTTCCCCAGGAGAGAGACAAGGTGGCTTGGGATGCCCATCCCACTAAGAACTTGCCACAATTTATGATGATCCACACAGTCAAAGGCTTAGAATAGTCAATGAAGCAGGAATAGATGTTTTTCTGAAACTCCCTGCCTTTCTCCATTATCCAGCGGATATTGGCAATCTGGTCTCTCGTTCCACTACCTTTTCTAAACCCAGCTTGAACATCTGACAACTCTCGCTCCATGTATTGCTGGAGTCTTCCTTGCAGGTTCTTGAGCATTACCTTACTGGCATGAGAAATAAGGGCCACTGTACGGAAGTTTGAGCAGTCTTTCGCATTTCCCTTTTTTGGTATGGGGATATAAGTTGATTTTTTCCAGTCTGACGGCCATTCTTGTGTTTTCCATATTTGCTGGCAAATGGCATGCATCACCTTGACAGCATCATCTTTTAAGATTTTAAACAGTTCAGCTGGGATCCCGTCGTCTCCTGCTGCCTTGTTGTTAGCAATGCTTCTTAAGGCCCATTCAACGTCACTCCTCAGGATGTCTGGTTCTAATTCATTCACCACACCGTCAAAACTATCCTCAATATTATTATCCTTCCTATACAGATCTTCTGTATAGTCTCGCCACCTTCTCTTGATCTCTTCAGCTTCTGTTAGGTCCCTGCCATCTTGTTTCTTATCATACCAATTTTTGCCTGAAATTTACCTCCAATGTTTCTAATTTTCTGGAAAAGGTCTCTTGTCTTTCCTATTCTGTTGTCTTCTTCCACTTCCATGCATTGCTTATTTAAAAATAGTTCCTTATCTCTTCTGGCTAACCTCTGGAATTGCGCATTTAACTGGGCATATCTCCCCTTATCACTGTTTCCTTTTGCTTTCCTCCTTTCTTGGGCTACTTCCAGTGTCTCAGCAGACCACCATTTTGCCTTCTTGGTTTTCTTTTTCTTTGGGACGTACTTTGTTGCCACCTCCTGAACAATGTCGCGGACTTCTGTCCATAGTTCTTCTGGGACTCTGTTTACTAAATCTAGTCCTTCAAATCTGTTCTTCACTTCCACTGTATATTCGCTAGGAATGTTAGTGAGATCATATCTAACTGGTCTGTGTATTTTCCCTGATCTGTACATACAAGAGTGAATAAGCTTGTAATTATAGGGGAGAAAGGAACAAAAATACTTTCAAATTATGCACCAGAACAAATTATATTACTTAATTTGTGTGTATTGTTTTCAAGAATCAAGGAAAGAATATCAAAAAGAAGGGGCTGACCATTGCCTTTCTCTGAGGCCAAAAAAGTGTCACTTGGCCAAGTTTATGCAGTAGTTTCCATGGCGAAGCAGGGATTCAAACCCTGGTCTCCAGAAACATTGTGCCCAACATTCAAAGTACCTACACAACACTGGCTCGCAGGATCCCCCAAGTTAGGATAGTGAACAAGTTGCACTAAAGGGATAGTCCTTATTTTGGCATTCATCCCAAACAAGGAAATATTGAGAAAGTACTTCATTAAAAAGATACTTTCTTTCATAGAATGTTCCCTGTTTGAGTTTTTGGTACCTTTTTACTTGTATTAGAAACCATCTTGCAAGGCAGTCATGTGAGCAAATGAATGCATTGAAAAGATTTGAATTCACATTTGATCTTATCAGACACTGTTCTTTTAGCATATTCTGTCAGTATGAATTGACTTTAAAATAAAACATTTATTGTACACACGTGAAATAGAATTATGCTAAGCTCAGATATATTCAAATTCTAAACTAAGAAATGAAGCAGGGATTTATGCATATCCTTCATTTTCTCCCCAACTGCTACAGGACACAAACACAGAAGTTTCCAGAAAATACAGGTAAAAAGCAGTTACTGGTGCATATATTTCCATCTTCTGCCAAGATATTCAGAAGCTGTTACATTCTGAGCATGTTTCTATCTATCAGGCTACTTTCTACATTACAGATGTATCATGTATCACTTACTCTTGTTTTATTTATTTTATTTTATTTTTGAAAGTAAGCATACTCTTATCCAGCAACATAAAAATTCCCCTATTTGCTTAAAAGACTCACATATAACTATGTATATGGTAACAAAGGAAAAACTGTACTAGTTCCAGTGGAATTCTCAACCAGCCCTTAAATATATGACTAGGAAGAGGAAGAGAGAGAGAGAAGAGAAGGGAAATGCTTAAACCTCTTCCACTCACACTGTTCCTTAGTATATTTGCTTTTGTGTAAAGTGGAAGGAGATATGCTAAGACTTGTTGTGTATTTTAACATGATATGGAGAGTGACTATATGACTGGGCTTCTTTGAAATCAGCTTTTCCTTGTTCACAGAATGAATTACACTCTTAAGTCAAGGTATCATTGTAAATAACTCAAGACATATTCAAGTCTCTATAATTCCAGCCATCATTTAGATTCCATAATTATAATCAGAATTATAATCAGAATAAGGCAAAGTTGATTTAAACTGATTTAAGATCGTATCTTGCTTTGGTCTGATTATCACACACTTCAGTATCTTGGATAAGTGAAGTCGGAAGATGAGTACACAACTGCAAGATTTGTGTATGCCTCAATTTATTATGGCAGTTGAAAATATGTCTATTTGACAGAGCGATATGGGAAAATTGCCTTTCTGGAATCTCAATGTAATCCATTTAAAAGCAGCATATCCAATTTTTACATATGCTTTTATGACACTGAGTGTTACTGTTAATGTTTCAGCTTAACTTCTATGACAACTCAAGATTTGTCCTGGGTCTGCAGCACTCATAGGGAAAGGATTTTACAGACTTAATGTTCCTTCTGAGTGTAATAAGACATGACATGCTGGGTAGCAGTGCATCTGCACCAGGATTGTCTATTATGCAAAACTGATCTATTTATCCCCAGATAATCTGAATATTTCACTCTTGTCATTGCACCTAGATGCTATGATTCTGCCTCAAAGAAGGCCAAGCCTAGTTGTGCATTTTCATCAGGTGATATCTACTGTTATGAGTTTCTGTAAAACAGATCTTTCAAGTCATTTAAAAAACAATGGCAGCATGGAGATTGCTCAGCTGGTATCTACTAAATATGTCCTGACATCACTACGTTTTCAGGCAATATGACTGTTTGAATCAGGTCTGGCTCTCCCAATGATAGGTGTTCTTGCTTTGCATTTGCTGATCATTTTGGAATCATCTTGAGTGTGGAAATTTATCATTCTTGTGTCTTGAGGTTTATTTTTGTTATTGTTGTTCTTCCACAGAATATAGACACGAATGTGATGATGACTCTTCTTTTGTAAGTATGTTTAAGTACCACATTCGTGGTTGCAAAAATGTCATAGGCTGCTAAGATTACTCAATTTATGTACTTTTCAAATTACCAGAGACAGTTTTTGAAGTGCTAGAAAAATATGATGTTCTTCGAGGACACTTTAAAAAGTTTCCACTATTCTATTTATAATACAACATATCAAACAGTCTGGATTATCCCATTTCATAAGACTGTTCAGGAAAATAAATAATTAATTATTTCATAGTTTTAAAGAGATAGAAAGCATGTCTGAAGAACTATTAGATTTAACACGTTTTCAGCAGACCTCACCCAAAGTCAAATTGCAAGTTATGGGAAGCTGATCATCCATCTGGTCCAAAAGTGGATGTGTATGTATCAGATATTCGATTGCAAACATAAATGTAGACAATGAATAGCAAGTGCATGGTCGAAAGCAGATATATCTCACCAATGTATCACAAAAGTTAAGTGGGGCTGGATGTATGGTCAGAGGGCAAGGTCTAAAGCCAGATGTACAAAATTAAAAGCAGACAGGCCTCAAGATCCAAAAAAATAATAAGCCATCATGTTGAGAGGTTATGTGTACATGTGTGTGCCATGATTTTCACAAGACCAGCCTTGCAACCTATAAATTGTTGCTGTGCATCACCAAAAGGCCTTTTTGGTAATACAGAGTGATATAAATTAAATATGAGGGAATGAACACATAAATAAGTTAACAATCTTCAACATGTCTCATGCTTACCCAAGATACTTGCATACTCTCAGGCTTATGGCAGAAATCTGGATGGGCAGTATATTAGTCCCTTTTAAGCTAGAGTGCACTTGCAATTGTTCTTATTTTTAGTAAAAAAAAACACAAAACCAAACATGCAACAATTACCATATTCCCAATATAATCAGAGCTTGGAGGGAGAAGGACTTTTGAAGATTATAGTTTACAGATTCCTCCCCAGGAAGACTAGTAGAATGGTAATTATGCAAATCTTAAGGCATTCTGATTTTGAATTACTCGTTTTTTAGCCATTTTTCCAGGTCAAGACAAGTTGGTAGCCATGAGTGAAAATTTCCAACTCTATGAATTAAACCTCCTGATACAAAGAACCAGCATGGTATAGTGGTCTGAGTGGTGGACTAAGACACTGGTCTCAGACCTGTGTTTGAATCACCACTCTGCTATCGTGTGAACTTGGGCAAGTCACACTTTCAGCCTCGGGGAGGTAAAGACAAACCCCTTTTGAACAAATTCTGTAAAGAAATTCCCATGATAGATTCCCATGATAGTCAGAAGTGACTTGGCACACAAGAACAATAACAATCTCCTGATAAATAGAATTCCAATCTGCCCAATCTCTGAAACTTTGTGTATCCCTCTTCTCTATTTCACATATTAACACAACAAAAAGCAGCTGTGCAGTAATAAGATATTTTGTCAAGATAGAACTTTTGTTTGAATAGGATGAAAGTGATGATTATGTAAGCCCAGATGAAGATGAAGACGGTGTGGACTATGAAACACCCAACGATCAAGATGGGTTTGATGACGGAAATGATGCGGATTACGAACCACCTCCATCTAATGATGATAATGCACACTGTAATGTTATATTTCCTTCCAACGCAATACCAGCCACATCAGAATACATTGGTAAACAACTGGTTTCAAGCATTTTATTTTTTCAAGTGAATTAGAGGAAAGTATTAGCTTTGGACAAAAGTCATAGATTTTTAAAAAACAGCTATATTTGTTGCTCATTTTCTAACTATTTTAGAACTCTTTTAAAAACAAAATTAAAAACATTGTACTAAATAAGGTAGATACAGTATGTTACTCATTTCTAAAACATTTGAATTTGAAAGATCCTAGGGTTATGAGAGAACCTTTATGAAACCCCAGAGAGCCATTGCCAGTAAGTCTCAGTACAGGTTGAGTATCCCTTATCCACAATCCTTGGGACCAGAAATGTTTGTTGCTGCTCATTTTCTAACTATTTTAGAACTCTTTTAAAAACAAAATTAAAAACATTGTACTAAATAAGGTAGATACGGTATGTTACTCATTTCTAAAACATTTCCTTTGAATTTGAAAGATCCTAGGGTTATGAAAGAACCTTTATGAAACCCCAGAGAGCCACTGCCAGTAAGTCTCAGTACAGTACAGGTTGAGTATCCCTTATCCACAATCCTTGGGACCAGAAATGTTTGTGATTTTGGGTGATTTTGGAATACCTGTATTTTCATATACAGTGGTATCCTCTGGGGTTTGGTTGTGTACTATAACCTGTGGATATTCAAATCCCACTATATATAATGGCATAGTAAAATGGTATCTCTTATATTTAATGCCAAAAACAAGGTTTGTTTTTAGAGGCAAGAATTGGGATATTTTAAGTGGTGAATGATTGAATCCATGGATAAATAATCTGTGGAAGGTCAATTGTACAGACATAATGAGATATCACAGACATAGGATCTAATTTGAAATACAAAATTCATTTACGCTTTGCATACACCTTAAAACATAACCTGAAGATAATTTAATACAATACTTTCAATAATTTTGTGCATGAAGAAAGAGTATGCACGTTGAACCATTAGAAAACACAAGTGTCACTGTCTCAGCCTTGTGTGTGGACACGTTTGAATGTTAGAGTATTCCGATTTTGGAATTCTGGATAAGGGGAATGCTTAATCTGTACAGGGTGAGAAGGAGTAATGAGCTGGCTCAGGAATTGGCATTTTGTATGCTCTTGAAGACTTCCCCACAACATAAAAGTTATCTGAAATACAATTCTGATCATAAATATATAGTGTGGCCACTTCTTTTCTGATATATTTTTATCAACACATGTTTTTAATAAAACAATATATAAGAAAAATGCAATTACATTCTATACTAACAGTACACTGTACTAACATACTATACTATACTTTAAACAAAAGCAAATGACTTCCCACTTTCCAGCCACTTGTAGTAACCAAAACATACTTTAAGTGAACTTCTACACAATATTTAATTCAACTATTTTTCAAATCCTACTATTTAGACTTTCCCAACAAAAGTGATTACTATGTCCCAATTCTCAGTAAAACTAGTTAGTGACTTTTTTTGCTAATCTACTTCTTGATGAGGACATGCAAATAAAATTATGTTTTTTTCTTGTGTGCTTCATTAATACTATTATCTATGGTTTCTTTTTCCTTTTAGATAGATCCACAACAGATAGATCGAAAACATCTCTTCAGCCTCCTGTTCCACCACAGAGACCTGGATCGTCGCCTACACCAGCAGGAGGCAGAGGCTCCATGGTATGTTTCTTTAGTGCACAGCTAGCTCCCCTTTGCATCTACTTCTTAGGCCTCTTTCAATTCGTAACAATCACATTGTTTTTTTCTATAGATTTCCTGTTTCCATTTAGTCACAATTCATTGATTCTGTTTTTGAAATTGCTTCCAAATGCGTGCATGATTTTGTTCCTATCTCCAGCATACCTCCAGGTCACAAGGTGCATGTCAGTCACAGTTGGGATGTAAAGAGAAGATGGTATCCAATATAAAGCAACTGAATAAATTGTACATACTTCTTGTTTACCTGTTTTACAGGTATTTTCTGGATATGAATCTGTTCCCAGAAGTCTAGAGGGATGTATTTACAATTTATGTGCACTTAGTCTTTTTATATCAAATCTGTCATATTTGGTTGTACTTCTTGGTAGTTGCCAAATATGATTCTTTCAGCAAAACAAATATATCCCTATATAGTGATGCATACATCTAGAAATGTTAGTTTTAAAAAGTCAACCTAAAGGACCTGGAATGATATATTATCCACAAGTCAGTGTGAGTACTATGTCTGAACTCTAGTCAGAATAGGAACTACCCCTCTTTCTCTAAGTAAAAGGGGGAAAGGTAAGAGATTTGTCCTTCTGGAATAACTTTCAAAAAGCACCAACCCCTCTCTTTGCCACTACGCTAACACTTCTGGCCTTTTAAAATGCCTGATTGGGAAACGGCAGCAGGTAAGAACCATTGGTCCCTGAGACAGCATAGATGCTTTCCTCTCTTTGTGGAATGTCCCTTGGCTTATCTACAAATCGAAATCCATATTTTTGTCCTCAAAACCTGCCTTCAACTTACATTATGGGGTCAACTATACTTGAGTATATTTGGTAGTCTCTAAATATAGTAATATTAATGCAGTATTTATAACATCTATTTCTTTTCAGCAGTCACCTTTCCTTTCTCCTTCAAGCTATAACGAGAGCAGCAGAGAGAAAAACATCCAGTCATTTAAACGTAGGTATCTTAATGTAGTTCTTTTAAAAATTGCCACAAATACAAAGCATTATTTTTTATGTCTCTCTTCACTACTTTTATACAGCTTTTCATTTTGGTTGTTGAACTGATGTAGCTATTTTTGCAGTTCTTAATAGAATAGTTCTTTATATAACAGAGGTGATTATGAATGCTGTGCTGAAGTCCTTACTAGTACGGAAATGTTGACCCAATTTTCCTATTCACTTCAGTTGCACCTCCTTCAGTAGATCGAAGCAAAAAGCCCCCACTGGACCGATCTGGGCCACCATTTGATAGAGACATCCTTGGACCAGGTTAGCATTTATTCTGGCAGGGATCAACTGTGGATGGCAGAGGAGACAACCTAAATGGAATTTGTTTTCATTTCAGTTATTTCTGACTGATTTTTGATGTTTAATAACGAATGTGGCAAATATTTAGAGAGTATTTATTGGTCCTGTAGGCCTCCAAGAATAACTTTGTTAGCAAATTTGAGGTTTGTATCTGAGGGATCTGGGGGCCAGAAAACACCACAGTCTATTAGTCTCATTTGCCCAGTTGATTTAAGTCCTGTTACTACTGATACAGTTAATCCATTGGGAGAAACTGAGTTCCAATGGGATACCTATAGTCAGATATATGCTACGGGCTAAATATATACTAAATAGGTCACTGTGACCCGAAAAACCAGGCTCCAATTTGGTAACAGGCCCGTAGCCAGGATTTCGTTTCGGGGGGGGGGGGAGCTGAATTTTGTTTCGGGGGGGGGGGGGCTGAGTCTGAGTGAAAGAGGGTCTACCCTAGCAAACCTTTTGTATTGTTACCCCAATACCCCCATGCATATGGGATATATGGAGCATGGTGATCAGATCATGATATGAATAAACATAACAGTTTAAATAATGTACCAGTAAGGCCTTCTCATGGACCACTCTGAGAATTTGGGGGAGGGGGGCTGAAGCCCCTCAAGCCCCCCCCCCCCGGCTACATGCCTGTTTGGTAAGCAATTAACAACTGATAAACTGAAAAGAACATTGAAAATTGGATCCATATGGAGCACTACTAGGAAGTCATGCATTTTCTCTGGTGCATACTTCAAATCAGCTCTACTCTGAGTAAAAATCAGTGGAAATATGATCAAATGGGCATAAAGAAGGATGTTAATTAATTAATGCAATTTTTAAAAATGGGATTTGATCATAATACATCAATGATTTGAAGAAGAAAAGTTGGCCCCAAACAGGAGAAATTCATCAAAGAGAAATCAAAGAACATGTAGAGTTTTGAAATGAGATCCAGTAAGGAATACTGATTGATTCATTTGGATTTATTTCATACCTTTCTCCTGGACTGGGATCCAGGTGGGATTAGAAAAGGTTTATTTTTTGGAGTTTGTGAGCAGCAAGTACTCCTGCAACAGCATATGGATGCTTTTCATGCAAGTAGTATGTAACAAGAGCTCCACATCTCCCATTAAAGTAGGGATGCACAATTGCATTAGAGTGGGCTTTTTGGATCAGTTCATCCCCACTTGGCTTCAGCAGTAACTTGCAAATGAAGAAAGTTGTTGCTTAAAGTTCCTGTTGAGGTCAATTATTGGCAGGTTTGCAAGGACCTGATCGAGTTGTGGTGTAAAACAAACAAACCAGAATTTAGCTTCCCTATAAAATTGGACATGCGGCATATTCTCCAGCATTTTATAGATGAAAGTTGGAACATCTGCAGCTTAGCAACATCAGAGTGTGGCCAGGTTGGCAAAATATATTAATAAGGAACATCATACAAACTATGAGAAGCTGCAGTATTTTGCTTTTGGCTGAACATACTGGGACAGGAAAGACTTCCCCTTCTCTTCAAACTACAAGAGAGGAGATTCCATCTGAACATTAGGAAGAACTTCCTGACTGTGAGAGCCGTTCAGCAGTGGAACTCTCTGCCCCGGAGTGTGGTGGAGGCTCCTTCTTTGGAAGCTTTTAAGCAGAGGCTGGATGGCCATCTGTCAGGGGTGATTTGAATGCAATATTCCTGCTTCTTGGCAGGGGGTTGGACTGGATGGCCCATGAGGTCTCTTCCAACTCTTTGATTCTATGATTCTATGATTCTTGCTTTTGCTGAGTTTAGTGCTTTTGCTTGGTTTGCAGCAATTGAAGTAAACTGAAAGCTAAAGGGGGGGGGAGGAGAGAGGCATTTTAAAAGCAGCTGAAATGTAAGAGAATACAGTATTAAATAGGACTGTCACTGCCCAATTGGAGTGTTTGGTCTGACAATACTTGGAGTATATTATCTTGCAATACCTCCATCTTTATGTTACTTTAAGTTATATAGTTAAAATTAGGTCATAACTGCATCCATTATTCATGACAACAAACCACTTACCCTGACTAATGTTTTTTTCTTTTTTTTTTCATTTCATTTCATTTAAAAAAAACAATTAAGGAAAAAGAACATTTCTTGAAATGGTAAGAGATTTTTCAGATTCTAGAACAATTGACTTAATTTTCCAAAAAATACACCATAATTATCTTTTCTTTTAATTAATTTATTTTATTATTTTTTTGCAGTCGTTGACACCACAGCTCAGGTAAATGTTTATATTTCTTTTTACAGAAGCCATCAGAATTATTAGGTCACATGGTAGATTAAAGCAATTGGTTCTGTTAATATTATTTTCTGCTTTTTTTCCCCAGACATCTGGGACAGGAGTTAACAAAGATACAGAAGCCTCCTGTGCCATCAACAGAAAGATATGAAAGAAACAATCCTTCTTCTAGAAGGAAGCCACAACCCATAACGTAACCTACATATATTATTTAAACTGATTCAGTGTAACCTTAGAAAAGTGAAACAAATTCATTTGTTATTTTCATTCCTCAAAGCTGTCCTAATGATAAGGAGGACCTCTAGTGGTGCTTCAAAGGAACTCAAAAGGAAAAACCAGATTCACACTTTTAAGCATCCAGTATAAGTGCAATAGGATTTCCCAGGTTGAGAAGTAAAAAAAGAAAAAGAAAAAAGAAATGTGAGAAGATATTAGGTAGTAAAATGTAAACAAACTCATGCTGAATTGCGCTAATTTTTTAAAAAATGAATTAAAATGGTAGAGGTGACTGAAATCATATTTATCATGGATGGGTGCAAGTAACAGGACAAATTGTAACACTTGCTCTTGAAACTGCTTTCCCATAATGTACAACATTATTACCCATAATCTTCCCTTCCCTTAGAGTGGTGCGTTACGGAACCACCTGCAAGTTACTTTTAACCTAATGGGTCTCTGTGAAAGGTAGCACACAGAGCCAGAATTAAAATAGCTTGTGAAAGTGAAAATGATTTGGAGAAATGGTTTCCAAGCATGTTTGGCACTTCTCTACAAACCTCCCGTATTGTTAGGGAATATGGCCTCTTTAAGACCTTTGCCCTGTCATTCATGGGCAAAGGGGAAGATTATTTTGGGTTTCCTCTAGCAGCTTACTGAAAAACAAATGGAACTTTAAAATTACTGTGTCAGGCCTCCATAACGGAGGTTGAATGGCATAGTAGATGCACTGTGAATTTTATTTCTTAACTACATCAAATGTGAATTTGTCTTTAATGTGTACTATACAAACAATTAATGCTCTTTTTAGCACTATTTCCATTTTTAATTTTACATTTGGTCTTCCCACAGTTTTAATTGTATGTTATCTTATTGATAATGTTATATGTTTATTGTCTATGTTTTTATTTTAATTGCTTGTATTGTTGTGATTATTGCTTGTATTGTTGTGTTTGGGCTTGGCCTCATGTAAGCTGCACTGAGTCCCTTGAGGAGATGGTAGCGGGGTACAAATAAAGTGTTATTATTATTATTATTATTATTATTATTATTATTATTATTTTAATATATATTTTTATTTTCTTCTAGGAACAATCACATACCTGAAAGGAAAGCAGAAGTGAGTATGCACTTATGATAAAGTATGCGCTTATTTATTATTGGATATATAAGGCAAATAGCCTCTTTAATAATTTAAAACAAGGCTGTTTGTTTAAATAAGCAAGTTTGTTTAAATAAGCAAGTGTAAAGGATGCATCCACACTATACCATTATAGTACAATTATAGTAAAACCTTTTTCTATACCACTCTTGGTATGTAGGACTAATGAGCAGAGAGAATGATATCTTGAACCAACACCACACTGAAAAGTAAACCATTTTCAAATAGTAGTAGTACCCTACCACCATCTCCCCGAAGAGACTCGGAGTGGCTAACAAAGCACTCAAGATGCACTCATAAAATAGAATTACACATCATCAAAACAACACACAATTTGAGTGAATACAAACAACAGACATCATCAATTGATAAAATTTAAAAAATCTAAAATACAGTCATACCTGTGGGTTATTAGGTTTCTTCAAATACGAACTAAAGCGCTGGGTTACAATGGTCAACGTCATCACATGACCATAGTTGATTATTCCAGGTCAAAGGCCCATGAAAATAGCCATGTTTTTAGACTCGAACAAAAGGTTTGTAGATTTGGAGTTAACCTAATCTCTCTAGGGAGGGCATTCCAGAGCTGGGGAGCCACCACCAAGAAGGCCCTCTCTCTCGTCCCCACCAACCGCACCTGTGATGGTGGTGGGATTGAGAAAAGGGCCTCCCCAGCAGATCTCAAGGCCCACACCAGTTCATACCGGTAGAAAGAGATTTGGTCTCGAAGATAGGTTGGACCCGAAGCATATAGAGATTTATAGGTAATAGCCTGCACCTTGAATTGGGCCAGGAAACTTGTTGGGAGCTAGTTCAATTTTATTGGAATAATAATAAGATGGCAAAAAGCAGTACATAATTATAAAAAAAACGAGTAATATAAAATATGAGGTAGTAGTTTACTTTTATTATTTTATCATAGTTAATACATTTGTTATACATTTGTTTTACAGCAGATACATATTATTCAATACACTTAACATATTTTGGCATCTAGTATTATTATTCTGCTTAAACATATTCTCTGTTCCTCACCGCTGTGCTCCCCTCCCCCCTCTCAAGCCACAACTTTTACATGTCGTCTGTCCAAAATCTCATTTCTTCTTGTGGCGGTAACTTTCCTTCTTTATTTTTTAATCCTTTTACAATAAATTTTCTCCAAACATCATCAAAATCACTTTGTTTCCATATACCTCTTTTAACTTTTAATATACATGTCAGCTTATCATTTATTGCCAGTTTCCATACTTCCTTATACCACTCCTCTATTTGTATATTTATTTCTTTTTCCAGTTCCTTGCTATAAGCAATCTTGCTATTGTTAATTAATTTGTTATCACTTCTTTATCCTCTTTTTTCAATTGTTTATTGTTATATAATGATAATAAAGCTATACTAGGACTTCTTTCTATGTTAATGTTCATTATATCTTCTATTTCTCTAAATATTTTCCCCAAAAATTATTTACATATTTACATTGCCACCACTTATGTTCCTGGTTCTTGACATCCTCTCCAACAATTTTTTGAATAATTTTTATTTATACGTGCTAATCTTACTGGTGTTAGATACCATTTCCATATTAACTTATAATAATTTTCTTTAACCCGTATTGATAATTTTTTTAGATGTCTTTGTCTCCATAATTGTTGCAACTCTATTTCATTTATTTTTATCCCTAAATCTTCTTCCCAAACCTCCTTAAGGGTGTTGTTTTTTGTTTTTCCTTCCTTTATTTAAATTATTATCTTATATATTTTACTAGTTGTTCCTTTCAAATTTCCATGCTCCTCTACAACCCTTCCATTTTGTATTATTTGTTCAAATTGGTTAAGCTAATTTCTGTTTTTATTATTTTTTCCCAATTTTAAACCATTGTTCTTTTTAAAATATTTTTATTACTTTATCATAATTATTACATTTATTATACATTTGTTTATAGCAGTTACATATTATTCAACACCCTCTTTAACATATAATCTTATTCTTCTGCATAAGCATTTTATCCCCCCCCTTTTTTTTCACCACTGTGCTCCCCTCCCCCCCATTTCAAGCCACAACTTTTACATATCATCTGTCCAAAATCTCATTTTTTTCTTGTGGCGGTAACCTTCCTTCTTTATTTCTTAAACCATTTACAACAAATTTACCCCATACAACATCAAAATCACTTTGTTTCCATATACCTTTTAAAACTTTTAATATACATGTCAGTTTATCATTTATTGCCAATTTCCATGCTTTCTTGTACCACTCCTCTATTTGTATATTTATTTCTTTTTTCCAGTTCCTTGCTATGAGCAGTCTTGCTATTGTTAATAAGTTTGTTATTGCTTCTTTATCCTCCTTTTTCAATTGTTTGTTGTTATATAGTGATAATAAGGCTATACTGGGACTTTTCTCAATTTTCATATTCATTATATCTTCTATTTCTCTAAATACTTTCTCCCAAAAATTATTTACATATTTACATTGCCACCACATACGTATATATGTTCCTGGTTCTTGACACCCTCTCCAACAATTTTTTGAATTATTTTTGTTTATATATGCTATTCTTACTGGTGTCAGATACCACTTCCATATTAGCTTATAATAATTTTCTTTAACCCGTATTGATAATTTTTTTAAATGTCTTTGTCCCCATAATTGTTGCCACTCTGTTTCGTTTATTTTTATCCCTAAATCTTCTTCCCAAACCTCTTTAAGAATGTTATTTTTTGTATTTCCTTCCTTTATTTCAATTATTATCTTATATATTTTACTAGTTATTTCTCTCAAATTTTCATGCTCTTCTACAACCCTTCCCTTCTGTATTATTTGTTCAAATTGGTTAAGTTTGCTTCCATTTCTATTATTTTCCCCCCAATTTTTGAGCCATTGTTCTAATTGTATACAATGGAACCATGTCAATTTTATTTCTCTAAATTCTTCCATAATTGTTTCCTTCTTCATTCCAACCTTTATAATATGAGGTAGTAGTAATAAAAAGTTATAGCATAACAATTTAAGAAATTATAGTACAACTAGTAAATAAGAAAATAATATAAGGCATTGACTAAATCATATCTATGAGCTCTAAAGTTGCAAGGATGAAGAAATTACAAATGTGTAAATTAAACTATTACAGGCATCCTCAAACTGTGGTCCTCCAGGTGTTTGGGCTTACATCTCCCAGAAACTCTAGCCAGCTTGTTCAATGGTCAGGAATTCTGGGAGTTCGAGGCCCAAACACATGGAGGACCACAGTTTGACGATTCCTGAATTATTAGGAAGTATACCTAATATTTTTACAAGTGCAAGTTTTACATACAAACGTTGGATTGTGTAAGACTGAATGCGGTGTATCCTGGCACAATCTTAGTTAAATGTCTAAAGTAATAAATACAAAACTAGAACAATTTTTAGAACTAAATGAAGCAATTGACAAAACAACTCTTTCAGAAATTGCGTATTCTGACTGAATCCTAAATTTCCCATTTATTTTTGGATCAGCATAGACTTATCCCATGGCAAGCACATACATATTGAAAATCAAAAGGTTACTTAGATACAATGTAAATTATATATCTACCACCCTTAAAGTGTAATGTATAATGAATCAGTTAGTAGATCTTTGCATAAACTGTGCCCAAATGTTAACTTCTTCTTCTTTTTTTCCTTTCAGCTTGAAGATGGCAGTATGTGATGTATTATTACTATCATCATTTTTATTACTACTACAAGAAGTGTACTTGTTCTTCTTTCTTCATAATTGTTAGGAAACTTTTAGTTTTACCCCTGTGCTGACAATTTAAAACTGTGGTGGTTGCCAATACACGTTTTCTCAATGTTTCTATTCCATGAAGAAATAGTAATAACATTTTATTAACCCCAACTGGGGTCAGTTTTCGCCCCAGGAACCTGTGGTGGGCTGTACTATCTCATTTTCAGTCCATTAGCAAATAAAAATCACAACTAAAGGTCACTTCCAGTTTGGACAGTATTCTCATATAATTCAGGAATTGATGGGTTGGAGGGTGGTTGAGTAAGGACCTCATCACATTAGCTTGGATGCTTGGAGGATGCTGGGAGGATGGAGCCTGCTGGATGCCATAAGAAGATGCACAGCTACTTCTGGTGGGGTTCCATTCTAGCATCCTCAAGTGTCCTAGGACACTGCCGCAAGAATACGGGATGCTTCCTGTGTTCCATTGATAAGAACGAAAGTAAGCCAGGCGTGATGCTTTCCCCATGGGAGGGGGAAAACGCTAATGCAGGTGATGCAAGACGCACGGCTACAGTTTTACCTGTTGATCGCCAAATTCACCACACTACATGGTGACTCCCCCTGCTATTGCCCACAAATTGGATCTCAGCGTGGTAAGGTCCTAAATCTGTCAACTATATCTGAAGTGTTTGGGGAACTGATTTTTTTTTTGTCTTGGGTTTTGGTGGCATTATAGAACTGCTAACATTTTGGGCTTACATGCGGCCCATATTTCCCTGTGCTTGGTAAGAATCCGCTGTGACTGGCAAGCATGTCTTTTACCCAAAGGCTAGATTACTGTTAAGAAAGATACTTCAAGTTGTCTTTTAAAACATTTGAAAACCGCAGTTGATTCATACTGTGGAGTGCAGTGATTTGTTAGGGAACACACTACTTAATACTCTTACATTGAAATTTATTTTTAAAATATTAAAAACCATCCAAAAATTTCAGTGCACATTCTACTAGAATCTAGAGCTCTCTGATTTTTTTTCCCCAGAGCATACTGATATAGCTATACCTTCCCTATTCTATTGAAAAAGGTATGTATTATTTATTTATTCCTGTTCTCTTTTCAGATGCTCCCCAACGGCCAGTTCCGCAGCCATCTTTGCAAGCTTTTAACACATTCCCTTCTATATCCAAGCTACAATCTAAACACAGTCCTTTACCACCAAGGGTTATGCCTGATTCATACACAGAAAGGTTTGTTGAGCTGAACTGCCATTCGTTGTGCACTATGGCATCTTTTTATGTTGTAGAATTTTCCTTTGCTCTTCTTGTGTACCTTCAAGTCATTTTCAACTTACTGCAATCTTGATGTGGTTTTCTTGGAAAAAAAATGTTTGGAGTGGGTTTATTCTTGGTTTCCTCTGAGGCCAAGAATGTGTCTTGCTTAATGTCACTCCAGTAGTCTTCAGAGTCATTGTCTAATACTCATTGTCCAGCACTTGAAGATTATTATTCATGATTATTACCGCCTCACACATTTAAGTTTAATTCCAATATCTGCCTTTCACACTTCCTCAGGTGTTTAAAACAGGCTTTCATGACAATGTTCTCTACCCATATTTTTATTTTGCCTGAATTGCTCACCCTTTTAAGTCATTATGCTTGTTCCACACAAAGGGATATTAAACAAATGGAGAGCTGCAGCCTAAACACATACTGTATGTGCCTTTGAGTATTGTTGTAAGACATACACCTATGAATTCATAATTGATCAATCTATATAAATAAAAATGTAATGTTAGTTTATGGGATTAACATAACTCAAAAACCACTGGAGGAATTGACACCAAATTTGGACACAATACACCTATCAGGCCAAAGAGTTACCATCACTCACAAAAATACTGAAATATACAGGGGAAGAGACTTAAAAGCCAAAAAAATTACATTACAACGCATGTGCAAAACCACACATATACACATATACACATACATATACACACAAAACAATTATACACAGACTGGGCCACAGCAACGCATGGCAGGGGATGGCTAGTGCTTGATAAAAAATTAACTAAAACTTACCCCGTATTTCTGCAGGAGTGGAAAAGCAGATTATAATAAGACATGAATTAGACTAATAAATTATGTGAATGCACATTACAGAGGCCCCAAGCCTGCTGGGCCAAAATGAAACAAAAAATCCCATGTGCCATGCTGATGTACATCGCTGTTTACCAATCCTTACCCAGGATAAATGCTTGAAAAAAATTTCAGGCCTCAGGAAACCCCATATAAAATTATAGGAATTGCTGTATGAAAAGTTAGTATATCAACAGTTCATTTTATTTTATTTTATTTTTAAATAACACATTCTCTTGTTGAACCCTCAGTGACCTCTAAAGAAAGTTTACCACAGAAGCCCAGGCATTCTGTGTACTTACATTTCTGCTTAATACTTTTCCCTGATGGAGTTACATTTACTGAGAATTGAGATACTTTAAAAATGCACCCTTCTGTAGATGAAAAACATTACCACAGGATTTTGGGAACTGATTCTTCCTAGGGATAGGCTTTAATGTTTAATTTAATGTGTAATGTTTAATAACTGGGGTACTGTTATTGTTTGTCTTTTTAAATGATACATTTACATTGGTTTTAATTATATCAAGTGTTCAATTACTTTCAACCATATTTTGTATGCCTTTACCTATAGATTTTTTAAGTATTTGTTTTAATTTCTACCAGTTGCCTTGAATACACATTCTACGTAAGTGATGGGATATAACATACTAACAACAGCTTTCTTATTTTTAAAGTGCTACTTCATCAACTGTCTCACTACCACCCCGACTTCAGCCAAGTATGTATTATGAGATATACCATGAACGTTTAGATTACATATTTAATCCATTTGATTGCAATGGCTGATTAGTGCCAGTGCACATATATAAGACATCTGTGGCTCAAACATGTGTTCTTTTAGTTGTTGGTTTAAAAGCAATGTAGATGGTTTAAAAGCAATGTAGTAATTATATTGTTTTAATCAAATGCTTACATATTTTAGAATTATAGAACCAAATTGGATCCTGCCAAAGCAACTGTATTTTCATAGTTAAATTAACAGTAAGCATCATGATGTATTAGATCAAGCTTTAACTCAATGTAACAAAAATAGTGAAATGATGATTAAATGGTTAGAATATGTATATATCCTAGGCATACATATTCATGGTGAATAGGTTTGCTATATCTCAGGCCCTGACCATTATTATTATGCTTATTTATACCCTGCTTTTTTTCTCTACAAAGGAGAATCAAAGCAGTTCAAAGTACAACCAAACAAAATACAATTTAAAACCTGAAAATATAGAAACATTAAAATAGAATTAAATATTAATGGTATTTAAAAAAAACTATCTAGTGTATTTTACATGTTTAGAAAGGGTGATAAGATGACACCCTTTTTCTTTCTTTTCCAATAGCTAAGCTTCAGACCAGGGATGTTTTTGCCTTAAAAATATGTATTTGCTCACTGAACAGACAAATTATGACTAAGCAATCATAGCAGCCAGGATAGATCAATTGTAGAGTATCTGCCATCCCCAGTAAACTTCATCTGTGCTTCTCATTCCTGTGACCATTTCTGGGTTAATTTTCATCAAATTTATGTGATACAACAAAACACCTAAATGTTTATGTATGCTAAGTTTATCAAGAATAAATACCATTTACAAATCAGGTTCCTTGGCAATATCTCAACAACAATTTAATACACTAATGTTCACATATGTTAACATTTCTGAAGGTAGCATTCCTCCAACATATTCCAAAGGCCCAGCTGATGCAAGACCTCCATTACCAGTACCTAACAGACCGATCACACAGTTTCCCAAAGCTGAGAATGAAGATGTGGAATTATGCAAAAAGGTACACGAATGCTATCAGGGGCTGTTTATTAATCAGTTTTTCCAGACATTATCAAAGCTAGCTCCTATACATAGAATCATAGACTCATAGAGTTGGAAGAGACCTCGTTGGCTATCTAGTCCAACCCCCTGTCAAGAAGCAGGTAAATCACATTCAAAGCACCCAACCTCTGTTTAAAAGCCTCCAAAGAAGGAGCCTCCACTACACTCCGGGGTAGAGAGTTCCACTGCTGAACGGCTCTCATATGATGTGGTCAATGGTGGAGATTAGAAACACATCCAAAGAACAGATTCACTGAGAGACTATCAACTTTCAGATATATTTCTGCTGGTAGGAGAGGCTTGGGTCTAATTCATCTACTGTATCTTTAAAACTGTACCTTTTTTAATTTTCTTGGGTATTTCCCTTTCCTTTTCCAAATATCACTTTATTTTATTGTATTCATAGTAAAATATAAAGGTTTCCCTTAACGTTAAGTCTAGTCATGTCCGACTCTGGGTGGGGGTGCTCATCTCCATTTGTAAGTCATAGAGCCAGTGTTGTCCATAGACACCTCCAAGGTCATGTGGCCAGCATGATTGAATGGAGTGCTTTACCTTCCAGCTGCAGGATGCCCCACAAAAACAAAGTTTTTGCAGTTTAATAAACTTTGTACATGCTTTTATGATAGAACCAATTAGAACCGCAGTGGCACAGCAGGTCTGGTCAGGTTTTGCTGACCAGAAGGTTGGTGGTTCAAATCCATGGGGCAGGGTGAGCTCCCATTGTTAGCCCCAGTTTCTGCCAACCTAGCAGTTCAAAAACAAGCATATGTGAGTAGATCAATAGGTACCGCTCCAGAGGGAAGGTAACAGCACTCCATGGAGTTATGCTGGCCACATGACCTAGGAGGCATCTATAGAAAATGCTGGCTCTTCAGCTTAGAAATGGAGACAAGCATCAGCCCCCAGAGTCAGAATCGGCTAGACTTAATATCAAGGGGAAACCTTTACCTTTTTATTTATAATCCAGGAACAAAAATTATGTTGCATAGTGTTATCTGTACTCTCTTGCTCTGTGTTTGTAACATGATGTAAACTTTATCAACAATTGCTCTTTTCTCCTCCCCACCTCTCTGTTTGTCTCAATTATAATTGGGGACTGCCAAATCAGAAATGGTATGCTGCTGATATCACCCGGCCAGAAGCAGAAATTGCCCTTAGGAGTATTAACCAGGTGAACATTTAACTATTCTGTCAGAGCCTGAGTCTAGTCCTTAACATATATGTTCACAGTTTTGATTCTGCCTATCTTAAATATATTCTATATCTTGGTTTTCTAGGATGGCACATACTTAGTAAGAAACAGCTCAAGAAAAACTTCTGAGCAACCATATGTCCTGATGGTGCTTTACAATAACAAGGTGTACAACATTCAAATACGTTACCAACAGGAGAATAATCTGTACTTCCTGGGAACTGTAATGAAAGCAAATGAGGTATGATACACTATTATTTACTTCATCTTATTTCCAATAAGTAGACAGATTATTAAGCCTAAGGCTCCATGTAACTTAAGTTGCTCATTCTTCAACTTCCTCCACATTCAAATTCACTGAGCATAACCAAATCAGGACTAACAGCAAAAAATTAAAACTATAGTTGTATAATAAATCCACCCAGCTGTGCCCAAAAGAGTGCTCTTTAGAAAACAAAATAATTACTCAAGAGCCAAAATGATACTGATTTAGCTTTCTTCATAGTGATTATCACTGACTGAAATACTTTTTGTAAATCTCACAGGAGTTTACTTCAGTGGCTGACATCATTGATAACTTCACGAGAATGCCCTTGTTACTAATAGATGGGAAAGATCGATGTTCAAGGAAGCAATGTGTGTTGAAATATGCTGCTGGATGCCTTTAGAAGAACATTTCATGAAGGACCAGTTTTGCTATATTTTTCTTCACAAGATCAAGCTAAAAGAATAATTTATCTGTGCTCAACTGAGATAACTTCTTATTTTTATTATCATGTCAGAATGCAAAATCCACCCTTTATTTGCCTCCAGTGTGCAAATGTCTTCTTCTTTTCCTTTAGGGCAGTGGTTCCCACCCTGTGAGTCCCCAAGTGTTTTGGCCTCCAACTCCCAGAAATCCCAGCCAGTTTACCAGCTGTTAGGATTTCTGAGAGTTGAAGGCCAAAACATATGGTGACCCACAGGTTGAGAACTACTGCTTTTGTGTATCATGTCTCATAACTGCATGGAATAAAAAAAAACATGTAGTTTTATGTACCTATGTGAAACCCATGGTCTGAAATACACACTGAATCAGCTGAAAAGAAATTTAGATCTGTGATTACTGAGTATTTTCTTATTTTAATGCAATGGCTGTTTTTGAGGGAGTAGCTCTGTATGAATTTTCCATAGTAAGCTTACAGTAAATAGTAAACTTCAGCTCAGAATAGCATAATATATTGGTATATTGATGCTGTTGAACACAATATGCATGCTATTTTCTTTGTGGGAGCATCTGTTTGTCATGTTTTAAGCATGATGCTATCAGTTGCAGGTCTTGCATTTGAAGCAACTATTAATAAACATTGTTTTGTATTTTATAAAGGTTATGAACTCTTGTTCCACCCAGTGACTATATTTGGTATACAGAGAACGAGCCATAGCCAGCTTTTGGTTCAAACACTTTCCCTTTCTTTCACTTATTTTCTCCAACTTACCTGTAAGGAAGAATCTGAAATTGTTTGCTTTGAGTGTGTTCTAACTATGCATCAAAGTGGGTTGATGATGCTGATAATAACAACTGCAGTGTATACATACAAATCATTTCCCAGAGAAAACTTCAGAAACATGTGCTAGTTAATCTGTGTAATTAAATAATGGCTCCTGGCCTGACACTTAGTGTCCCTCTATCCACCTTAAGAGTCAGCTAAAAGACTGGGTGAAGTAGGTGTATTCAGTTTCCAATGAGAGAATAAGGAGGGGTCACTGCCTTCCCACCAGCCAGACTGGTTGTGACAAGGACTTGCATTGGGGCCCTGCTTCTGATTGGCACAGCTTTGCTCACAGGTACCCCAATCACAAGCTGAACAGATCCCTTTCATTGATTCAATTAATGGCTCTAAAGGTGAACACCAGTTCTAATGTACATGCATTGCTGGTTTATTCACAGTAAAGTAATGCTGCTTTCTAAAACAGAAAATGGATTTAAGTGATACATTTTTTCCCTCCAATTATTTTATTTTTCACAATCAATGTACTATTTAAACATAAAGTACCAGAGAATAACAACTATTTACATGAATTAAACAATGCTGACTACATAAAAATAAAACTCATCAAACTCATTCTATTCAGAGACTCATCTTTGGAGTTGGGCCTAAATCATTAGTCCCAGATAAACTAGACATTAAAACAATGCTGAATGAACATATAGATAAATCATATTGATTGAATAGGTGTACTCAAGTTGAAGCTATCAGTAGGGTTTTAGTTATAGTTTTCAAAGATGCTCTCAATGAATGTTAATCTGAGAGTATGTCAAAAAGTTATCAAAGCAAATGTTTACTTTCTTCCTTCTCGTTGCTATACTTTTAAGATGCTAATACTTTGTAAAGCACCATTGCTAATGAGAAACTGGAAAGGGTTAATACATGAAAGTAGCATCTTTTATTTTCAACTCTTCCTGGTTCTTTTCTTCAGTTTCTTTTGAAACATCACCTTGCACTGGTTGACTGAAGTTCAATATCAGGTCACAAAGCAGCATTTGGGATTTTACTGCAAAATAAAAGAAAATGTTTTTTTAAATGTATATTCGGTTTTTCATGTAGGGAGCCTTAAGTGGAGCCTTAAGTGGAGCCAAAGGGGTCTTAAGTGTTTAGGCAGTAAGGCAGTGGTTCTCAACCTGTGGGTCCCCAGGTGTTTTGGCCTACAAGTCCCAGAAATCTCAGCCAGTTTACCAGCTGTTAGAAGTTCTGGGAGTTGAAGGCCAAAACATCTGGGGACCCACAGGTTGAGAACCACTGCAGTAATGCCTTATAAGATAGATGACTATTACTATCCTCATAATGCAGAATGAAAAAAAGGCTGAGAAAGACTAGAAATAGCCTGCCTAAGACCATAGTGGGAAGTCATGTCAGATATTAATAAAAGATTCCTCAAATACAGTTAAAAGGCCAGTGAAATGTGTGCGCAAGAAAATGGAGAAATCACTGCTGTTATATTTCAGCTACAAACTGCATCCTAAACATCTGTGGAAGCACAACAGTCTGGTCCAGTGTAATCTTAGCTCCCTAGATTCAAATGCCTGCTTATGAATTGCCTAATTTAGTGCCATTTGGAAAATTACACTGGAGTAAATCAATGCACAAAGATGGGAGTGCAATAGGCCCACTCAGATCCTCCATCATTGCTTTCTATTTGGGGAAAGCAGCTGTCTGATGGAAGCTCCACTAGACATGGCGAATTTCCACATAACCAGAAAGCCTTAGGATAAAATACAAGGGGGGGGGGGGGATTCTGGAACTACTGTTAGCTACATAACCTCCTTAATTATATAGTCTTTCAGTCCAACTGCCCCAATCCGCAGTAGGCTCTGCAGCAAGAGGAGTCTGTTCCCCTGACAATTACAAAGCAATTGACTGATGTTTCCACTTCTGTGAGCAATCTCCAGTGCTATAGTCAGAAATAGGATCCCTGTCCCAATTCCCTTCACTCTGGAGATTGCCTGTGAGAAGACAAGGATGTCAATCAATTACTTTTCAATCAAAAGGGGAACAGACTCCTGTCACCAAAGCTGCTGCACGGTAAGTGAGAATTGGGGGACTTTCACAGACTCTATAAATCTCTAAAGCAGTGAATACATAGGGATTGTAAATGCAAACTAGTAAAGGGTAACCTTGTTATGCATTTGCATCTACCTTAGTGAATTCCAACCATGTCCTATCACCTAATGATGTGCACAGAAAGGAGCTTCCTCTACAAGTTTACCTTTTCAACATATGAACGAAGGTGTGTGTGTGAGGGGCCAAACAATCCTATAGGTGTTTGATTATTTTCAGATCTTTTTCTGAACACTTGATCAGACCTTATCACTCTTCCTAATCTATCAATCAATTTGCAGTCAAATCTTGTGATAGACATGAGGCGGGAGGAAAGATATAGGTAACTAAGCAAATCCTGATGGCACAGTCTTGCCTATTTACATGTACACATATTTGCATGCTTACTTGAGTATGCATATATGCATGTCCATTGACTTTTATGTTTTAAAACATGTTCAACGCAGCAACTATAGAAGTGCCATCAGTTGCCATAAATGATTACCGGTATAATGGTTTCTTGATAAACGATATCTGTCATTACATCAAGCATCGTGCATCTGAAAAACTGGATCACCTTACCAATGGGTTACCATCATATGTCAGAGAAATATCTTCTAGATTCATGTGTTATGTATCCACATTTTCTCGGTGTCTTCCTTCTTTTGTGCACACACACACACACACACACACATGTACCCTAGTAATTTATCTTGGCTGTTGTAATAGTGGCATTATTGATTACCAATAAGTTTATTCAGCTCAGATGACATTCTATCCATATTTTTAATTGCACTGTCAATAGTAAGCTGTTGATCAGCATCATTCTTAGACATCTGAAAAAAAAAGATATGAAATCAGAATGATGCATTAAAACTATTAACTATTTTGGATATATGTGTGTACAGTCAACCTTCTATATCCACAAGTTCTGTATCACAAAATTTTCTTGGGAAACTTTGGTCAGAAGAGGTTTGCCACTGTCTGCCTCTGAGGCTGGCGGAGTGTGACTTACTTAAGGACACACAGTGAGTCTCCATGACTGAGCAGGGATTCAAATTCTGGTCTCCAGAGCCATTCTCCAATGTGCAGAACAGGGTCAAATGACCTTGTCACACAGCCATTGCTCCACTTGTTGAACCCCATGCCCCACATTGCCCAGATCCAGCGAGGGCGATCCCATGGGGGGAAGTGCGGAGTACATGGCTTCCCCACATGGATTTCAATGACAACACAGGAAGCCTTCTGTGTTGCTGTGGCAGTGGCATGTGCTGGTTTCACCTTCCTTCACCCACAGAGCCATACTGGCTTTGTTTGATGGGAGCCGGCAGGCTCCGTGGGTGACCTGGGCTAAACAGGTGTATGCCGCTGATTTTTGCCCCGTGTGAAGAAGTCCATAGTTCAATGTTCAGCCAACTACAACATGGTTACCTGAGAGTAAATATCTTTGAGCTCAATGGGACTTCCAACTAGACATGTAGGGAATTGCTTCATAAAGTTTCACTAATCTCCTAGGAAAAAGGCATCAATCTATCAAACCATACATTTAGATAAAGCTACATTGTTGCTTGTGAAAACAAAAACAAACAAAACTACTAGCCAAAACCAAAAGAAGAAGAAAAAAACGGAAAGGAGAAAAAAATTAAAAAGTAATTTCAAGTGTTCAACTTGACTTAGCCATAGCTGTATTGTCGAAGACTTTCATGGCTGGAATCACTAGGTTCTTGTGGGTTTTTTCGGGCTATAGAGCCATGTTCTAGAGGCATTTCTCCTGACGTTTCGCCTGCATCTATGGCAAGCATCCTCAGAGGTTGAGAAGGTCTGACCTTCTCAACCTCTGAGGATGCTTGCCATAGATGCAGGCGAAACATCAGGAGAAATGCCTCTAGAACATGGCTCTATAGCCCGAAAAAACCCACAAGAACTTATCCATAGCTGTTTTTAAAAACCTTAGCCAGAAGAGGGAGCTATTACATTACAAAAGTAATACTGGAATCCTCATAAGAAGGTAACAGCAAACCTCCTCTGTCCAAATCTTGCCAAGGAAACCCCATGATACCTTCACCTTATGATCAACTTAAATCAGAATAAACAGCATCAACAAACCCTAGGATGTAAGTAATATAGTATGTTCTGAGCTGATATTCTATGATATCATATTGCCTCCTTGAAAAATCAAACATGTTTACCTTAAAGAATCAATTATAGCATAATTTTAGTTCCTTTTATTCATTAATTTGATATCTTATCATTGCCTCTCTGCTCACAAGGATCCCTGAGATCATGTTCATTGAAGGAAAACATTTAAAATTCAATACATGAGTAAAACATATTTGAAAACAAAGTAAACAATGCTTAATTTTAAGCCATGAAGACCAACTGAAATCACATAGTTTTGGCAGCCCAACAGAAAGTCGGAAAGGGTGAATTAAAATTAAATACAGTATTAAAAGAAAACAAATGAAACATAGCACTTGTTTGTGGCTTGTAACTTGCCAACATTTTCACGATTGTTACTGTATCACTAAAGGATTCATGAACACCACATTGCAGTGTCACATGGATATTCCCAAGGCTTTGTTGAATTTAGAATCAGATGGGATAGTTAGAAAAAATAATGGTGTGTGAATCCCATGCACAAACAGGAGAAACCAGCCCTGGGATTCTGGCTATGCTTTTCCGTGCAGCTTTTGGGTAAGGGAAACATAAAAGGCTTCTGTGGTATCTATGGAAAGACAAACAACAAACTATCATTGTTAGTTCAAATTAGAGCGGGCATCCTGAATCAATAGGTATTTATTAATTCACTAGCCGTCCCCTGCCACGCATTGCAGTGGCCCAGTCTGTGTATATGTGTTTTCTGTATATATATGTGTGTGTGTGTGTGTGTTTGTGTATATATGTGGTTTTGCGCATGTGTTGTAATGTATTTTTTGTTTTTTGGCTTTTTAAGTCTTTTTTGCTGTGTTTTTCAGTGTTTTTATGACTGATGGTCACTTGTTGGCCTGATAGGTGTATTGTTTCCAAACTTGGTGTCAATTCGTCTAATTATGTTAATCCCACAAATGAACGTTACATTTTTATTTATATAGATCACTGAAGTGTCAGTATTAACCTGCTCTATGAAGAATAATTAGGAACTAAGGGTCCATCTACACTGACTATTAAGTGCAATTCAATACTAGCTTCACTGCCAGAGAACAAATGCATGAAAAAGAAAGATCTTAATGTGCATCACTGCTCTATGGTTTGGAAAATCACCATCCGGGAAGGCTGTCACCAGGTGCATCTACATCAGGCTTAGGCAAACTTGGGCCCGCTGTGTGTTTTGGACTTCAACTCCCACATGGCTGAGGGGGTAAAGGAAGGGGCCTGAGGCCAGGAAGTGTGGGAGTTGAAGTCCAAAACACACAGCGGGCCCAAGTTTGCCCATGCCTGGTCTACACTGTAGACTGAATGCATTTCAGCATTACTTTAATTGCCATGGTTTAATGCTATGGAATCATGGGCATTGTAGT